GTCGGGGGCTTGTGAGGGCCCCACCAGCTGAGCAGATATATGCGGGAACGGCATCAAACACAAAACCCCTGCATTCATACACACAAACCCTAAACCCTAAACCCTAAACCCTAAACCCTAAACCCTAGAAATATCGAAACGCGAAAATTATACACCCTTTCAAACCCCTAAACCCTAAACCCTAAACCCTAGAAGTGAGCAAAAAAAAAAAACCACAGATGGTTTCTATAAACTCTCCAGGTTGTGTTTAAGGGTTTAGGGTTTAGGGTTTAGGGTTTAGGGTTTATATACCCTGGCCTGCAACAGGTACTTGTATTTCTAGCGGCAGCATCAGCAGGTCGCTTGTCTCTGCTTGTGCTGCTAGCTGGGAGCAGCCATCGAACTGTCTATACACCTCAAGCAGCACCTCATCGCTGTGTCTGTTCCCGCTGCTGTTGCTGCTGCTGCTGCAGCTGCTGCTGCTGCTGCTGCTGCTGCTGCTGCTGCTGCTGCTGCTGCGGATGCAAGGAATTATCCTGTTGCGCTGCGGCTGCAGCGGCGGCAGCAGCGCAGCACGACGCTCCCGCAGCAGCGAGAGACGGGGGGTTAGATACTCGAGAAAAGCCCAGGCAAACGTCTGCACACAAACCCTAAACCCTAAACCCTAAACCCTAAACCCTAAACCCTAAACCCTAATTTTTTTTTTTAAATTTTTTTTTACCGCCTGTGCGGTGTATGCAACCCCAGCACTCCTCTCTGTAAACAACATCTAGGGTTTAGGGTTTAGGGTTTAGGGTTTAGGGTTTAGGGTTTATAGTACCTTGCTAGTATGCTGATGACCTAGGAAGAACTGTACAAGACAAACACACTGAGGGTATAGTGCTAGCAGCTGCTGCAGCGGTGCAGCAGCAGCAGCAGCAAAAGCAGCAGCATCAGCAGGATGTAAGAAAGCTAGAGAAGAAGAAGCGAGCTCCAGCAGCTCTTTCTCCTCTACCTGGGCCACATTCAACCCCAAAACCTCCACAGCCTCAGGTATACCCTGCACACAAAACCCTAAACCCTAAACCCTAAACCCTAAACCCTAAACCCTAAACCCTAGAGCCTGATGGGAGAGAGAAAAGAGCGAAAAAAAAAAGTAAAATGGAAACCCTAAACCCTAAACGTGAAAAGGAAGAGAAAACAAACAACACACACACTCATACAAACCCTAAACCCTAAACCCTAAACCCTAAACCCTAAACCCTAAACCCTAACCTTAAACAAAGAACCAGCTAGAGGGTATGTAGGAGGCAGCGCAATGAGGGTGCACCCTAAACCCCCCTCCTCTACGTGGTGCTGCAGCCGCGATGTAGCAGCATACGCGAAACACTGCACACACAAACCCCAAACCCTAAACCCTAAACCCTAAACCCTAAACCCCAAACCCTAAACCCTAAACCCTAAACCCTAAACCCTGGTGGAGAAACACTCCCTATGCGGTGCGCGGAAGCTTGTACGGCAATAACCAAGAAAGCAAATTCTAAACCCTAAACCCTAAACCCTAAACCCTAAACCCTGATACTGTATATGAATACCACCTTATACCCTAGTGTTTAGGGTTTAGGGTTTACAAGGGTTTACAAGGGTTTACCTTTGCGTAAGTGAGAGCACTACCAACAGTAGCATAGAAAGCATCAGCTAGCAACGCACGAAACCCTGGCGGCAGCATCTGGCCGTGCGGCAGCAGCCGCACATCGAACGAGGTTCTCCTGCTGCTGCTGCTGCTGCTGCTGCTGCTGCTGCTGCTGTTGCTGCTGCTGCTGTTGCTGTTGCTGCTGTTGTTGTTGGTTGCGCCGGCGGCTCCTCCTGCAAAGGAAGCTGCTCCTCCTCCTCCCTGCTGCTGCTGTTGCTGCTGCTGCTGTTGCTGCTGCTGCTGCTGCTGCTGCTGCTGCTGCTGCTGGCGGCGCTGCTGCTGCTGCAGCGGCAACACAACAACCTGGTATACTAAACACCGCAGCGCGATGCATGTGCTGCGAAGCAAACTCTTAGTTTCTCTAAGAAACCCTTGATATATCTGCTGCTGCTGCGGTGTCAGTGGTTTTGCTGCTGCTGCTGCTGCTGCTGCTGCTGCTGTTGTTGTTGCTACTGCTGCTGCTGCACCAGCACCAGGTAAAGGAACAGCAGGAGGAAAAAAATATAATTTGCTTCGGTTGCTGCTGCTGTTGCTGCTGCTGCTGCTCTCAATGTCATCCACCCCCTCGCTGCATGCTGCTGCGTGCATCTGAACGCATACAAAACCCCAAACCCTAAACCCTAAACCCTAAACCCTAAAAACCCTAAACCCTCACTCAGAACAACAAAACCTAAAACCCTACCCCACACATATCTTCTCGCATTCAACTGTAAACCCTAAACCCTAAACCCTAAACCCTAAACCCGAAAAAGCAAACCCTCTAACTAACCCCGGCCGCAAACCCTAAACCCTAAACCCTAAACCCTAAACCCTAATCATACATGTGGTATTTCTGCTTGCAGCTCAACCAATGAAGTGCAGAGAATACGGAGAGCCAGCAGCAGCAAATCCATTGTCTGCTGCTGCATGCGCTGCACTTCTTCCTTGCTGCTGCTGCTGCTGCTGCTGCTGCTTCTGTTTGCTGCTGCTGCTGCAGCACCTGCTGCGCCACGTGATGCTTCCCCTCCAGCATCTGACCGGCCTGCTGCTGCTGCTGGGTCTGTTTGAGCAGCATGTGTTTGTCCTGCTGCTGCTGCTGCTGTTTCTTCAGT